GTTTTGACAAATGTATAGGTAATTTTATTTGTGGTGGAGTTTTTTTTTGTTCCCTGGGATTGTGCAGGTCCAGGGATTTAACAGACGGATCCTGATTTTTTTTTTTGACAACATTAAGGCTCTTGGGAAATATAATCAAACAGGAACAAGTGGAATTTTTTTTTGCTGGCCAGAGGTTGGTCCTGGGGTCTCACTGCACCAGGATCTGGCCCTCTGGCATGCCTGGCGACTTCATGGCAGCTCCTGGCCCTCCTCAGGGAGCGGTCTCACCTTTTTTTTTTGTGTTTAGGCCACGAGATGAGACCTAGGACTGGGTTCTGGCTCTCTGCCCTGCAACTTTCCTGCCACTACCCGCGCCCGCATCCCTGCCCACCAGTGGGGGGCGCTTTTTTTTTTGACAGCCAACTTTCGCTGCTGCCACCACAACCGCAGGGCCCGATTACCTCTCCAGTCTATTAGAAACCGGTTTCAGATCCGCGGTGGAACGGCGGGCGGGAAAAAGCTTTTTTTTTGTCTCGGGTGCCCCTTCGGGTCAGCCATCCTCTGGTCTCCGAGGCTCGGTTTTTTTTTGGCGCGAACCGCTGAGCCCGCCTACCAATCAGGCCCTTTCTCCCGCCCCTTTTTTTTTGAAACCCTCAAAGGGTTGCAGTTTCAGCTTTCACTTAGAGACAGCAACTTTTTTTTTTGGGTCGCTGGGGAAACTGAGGCAGGACTGGGGACTCTGGGTGAGAGGTCAGACAGTGGTCGCGGACTCTTTCTCCCGAGAAATGGGGATAGCTCTTCCGATAGCCCAAAGCGACTCACGCAGATCCTAGAAGAGAGCGCCGAGGTCCGGGGGGTTGGCCCGGGAAAGCGAAGCGCCGCCCACGCGGCTGGGAAACCTCAGGGTGGTGCTGGTCGGAGGTGGGGCCAGGGGCGGGTTCCGGGCGGAGGGTGGGGCAGACGTGGGTTACCGGGTGTGCCAGCCAAACCTTGCACAGAGGAGGTGGCGGTGGTGGCCCTCGCCTGTGGCCCCCGTGCTGCTTGCACTCGAACTCTTCGCCATGGAGGAGCTCCAGGAGCCTCTGAGTGGACAGCGCCGGCTCTGTTTCACGCCAGCTGCCCGGACCAGCCTCTTACTGCTCAGGCTCAACGACGCTGCTTTTTTTTTGCTGCAAGAGTGTCAGCGGCAACAGGTACGGCCGGCCCCCTTCTTCTCTTTTTTTTTTCCCTGGGAACCTTGGGCCTCAGCCGGCGACCCTGGAGAAGGTGCAGGGGAGAGGGAGCGGCATCCGCAAGCTCTGGCCTCCCCACCTCTCCAAGTGAAGCCGGCTAGTTTTTTTTTCCCGGGCTCCGGACCCCGGATCCTGGGGATACCGCTTCACCTGCGCTCATTTTTTTTTTCTTCGCTCTCCCCGCAGGTACGGCCGGTGATTGCCTTCCAAGGCCACCGAGGGGTAAGTGCGAGCTCAGGGTGTGTGAGCGAGGTTAGGGCGAGGGAGCATAAACGTTTTTTTTTGGTGGAAGGTGCGGTCGGGGCCGGAGGCTGCGAGTGGTCACGGTCTGAGGTATTTCCGAGAACTGAACTCCAAATGGGGCGAGGAGGCTGCTGGGGTTGTCCCAGGGGGCTGTGGTTGAGGGGACTGTGCTGTTTCAGCCTCCTGGGGAACTCAGGCCCAGCTGCACCTGGTGTGCTAACGAGCCCTGTGGGACCCGTCTTAGTCTTACTTAGGCTGGCTCCCGGAGGAGTGGCGGCGGCAGGAGGGGGAGGGGCTGACTTCATGGGGCTTACCGTCTCCTTCCACCTCCAGTATCTGAGGCTCCCAGGCCCTGGCTGGTCCTGCCTCTTCTCCTTCATTTTTTTTTTGTGTTGCCAGGAGGGCGCTGGTGGTAGCTTAGACCTTGTGTGCCAACGCTTCGTCAGGTAAGGGGGAACAGGTAGCAGGCAAGAAGGGGTTTGTGGAAAGTGGGGGATTTTTTTTTGGAGAGGTGCTTAAGAGCTCACCCCCCTATTTTTTTCCACCACGCCTTTTTTTTTTTTGGTCTAACCGCCTCCACTGCCTGGGCTCACTCAGGGAGCGTCTCATTATTTGGGCAGCCATGGATTCTATCCCAGCCCCATTATCAGTTCAGGGACACAACCTGCCTGAAGATGCCAGACATCCTGAGAGTTGGCAGAACACAGGAAACTATTCTGAAGGAGATGTAGTATCACAGCCACAGATAGCACTAGAGGAGGTGAGGCCAGAAACTGCAGGGAGTTGTTTTTTTTTGGGGCAAAGGCTGAAGTCCAAGGTATCCCAGTACTCCAGGGAACCAAGTTTTTTTTTTACTTTCCCCACCAGGTGTCAGTGTCAGATCCACTGGCAAGCAACCAAGGTTTTTTTTTCCCAGGATCCTCAAGGGAGCACATGGCACAGTGGGAAGTGAGGTACTTGGGACGGGGTGGGACTAACATGGGAAGCTTTGGCATTGTCTTCCTTTCTAATCTCCACTCTTAAATGTTGTAATAAAAGATCCAGTTCCACCTCCTACCCTGGTCTTCATCTGTCCCTTTTTTTTTAAATATCCTAGAAACCAGACCCATCTTCCAAACAGAGAACCTGTTCAGGTTTTTTTTTCCTCTGCCAGCCGGAAACGTCTGGACAAGGTAAGTTATAATGGCAAGGGTTTTTTTTTTTTTTTTTTTTTTTGTAACATTGATATAATGAAACAGTGGCAAAGACTATTTTTTTTTGCACTTTTAGTCAAGTGAAAACTTAGAAATTGGAAGCTCAGGCCGGGCGTTTTTTTTTACGCTTGTAATCCCAGCACTTTGGGAGGCCGACGCAGGTGGACCACCTGTTTTTTTTTGTTCAAGACCAGCCTGACCAACATGGAGAAACCCCGTCTCTACTAAAAATTTTTTTTTAGCCGGGGTGGTGGCACATGCCTGTAATCCCAGCTACTCGGGAGGCTGATTTTTTTTTATCGCTTGAACCCGGGAGGCTGAGGTTGCGGTGAGCCGAGATCGCGCCATTTTTTTTTAGCTTGGGCAAAAAGAGTGAAATTCTGTCTCAAAAAAAAAAAAAAAAGATTTTTTTTTGGAAGCTCATTATATAGGAGGAATTTTTTTAGAGACAAAGTCTCTCTGTTTTTTTTTTTGGAGACTCCTGGGTTCAAGCCATCCTTTTTTTTTCTTAGTCTCACTCTTGTCACCCAGGCGAGGGTGTTGTGGTATGATCACAGCTCACCACAGCCTTGAACTCCTGGGCTCAACTGATTTTCCCTCCTCAGGTGGTGTGTGCCACCACACCAGGCTCATTTTCTGATTTTTTTGCAGAGATAGGGTCTCACTATGTTACCCAGACTAGTCTTGAAATCTTGTTTTTTTTTGATTCCCCCACCTCAGCCTCTGAAATGGTTGGGATTACAGGTATGAGTCACTGTGCCCAGCCTAGGAGGAATTCTTGAGAAAAGAACATATTTAGGAAGCTCTTGGCTGTTTATGTCACACAGATATTTTCCTCAACAGAAACGTTCAGTGCCTGTGGCCACTGTAGAACTAGAAGAAAAGAGGTTCAGAACTCTGCCTTTAGCGCCAAGCCCCCTACAAGGCTTTTTTTTTCAGGATTTACAAGAGGGAGAAGATTGGGAGCAAGAAGATAAGGATGAAGACATGGACCCCAGATTAGAATGCAGTTCCTCAGTTCAAGAAGGTGAGTTAATGAAAGGTTTTTTTTTATGCCAGTGGAAAAGACTTATAATCACTTGTGTTTTCTTGATTCCTTCCTTTTTTTTTAATCCCCAAGCCCTGAAGATGTACCAGACTACCTCCTGTGAGTTCCCTTTTTTTTTTTAATTTCATGAAGCCTTGTGCATATATTAAGATATACTTCCTGGAAGCTGAGGGCTTTTCAGGGGCAATGAAATTGAAGGTGACAGCTCTCTGCTCCTGGCAGGCAATACAGGGCCATCCGCAGTGCAGAACAGCAACATGCCTATGAGCAGGACTTTGAGACAGATTATGCTGAATACCGCATCCTGCATGCCCGTGTTGGCACTGCAAGCCAAAAGTTCATATTTTTTTTTGCAGAGATTAAAAGAGTTCAGCGAGGAACTCCGGAATATAAGGTAAGGACAAGACCCAGCCTGGCTTTCCAACTCTACTGGCCATTAACCCCCTGCTAACCACCCATATGCCTGTGTTCATAAAGTGACTAAGCAGTGACAAGGAAACCTGTTTGAAGGGAAAAATTAGTCTGTATCATTGTATCATTCAGTAGAATGAGAAGGGAAGTTACTTCTCTTTTGTTTTTTTTTTTAGCTCTCTCAGGCACAGTCTTGGCTCACTGCAACCTCCACCTCTTAGGCTAAAGCAATTCTCGTGCCTCAGCTTTCCGAATAGCTGGGATTATAGGTATGTGCCACCATGCCCAGCTAATTTTTGTATTTTTAGTAGAGACAGGGTTTCACCATGTTGGCCAGGCTGGTCTTGAACTCCTGACCTCAAGTGATCCACCCACCTCAGCCTCCCAAAGTGCTGGTTTTTTTTTTGTGAGCCACTGCGCCTGGCCCCTCTCTCTTTTTTCTTTTTGAGATGGATTTTTTTTTCCCAGGCTGGAGTGCAGTGGCGCGATCTCGGCTCACTGCAAGCTACGCCTTTTTTTTTCACGCCATTCTCCTGCCTCAGCCTCCCAAGTAGCTGGGACTACAGGCACTTTTTTTTTCGCCTGGCTAATTTTTTTGTATTTTTTAGTAGAGATGGGTTTCACTGTCTTTTTTTTTATGGTCTCTATCTCCTGACCTCATGATCTGCCACCGTGCCTGGCCACCCTTTTTTTTTTTTCTTAATGTTGAACTCAGTGCTAGTATTTTCTGTTTCAGGTGCTGGATTTTTTTTTAGTCCAGGAATATAAAAAGTTCAGGAAGGTAAGACAAGGTTGGGGAATGTTTTTTTTTAAGGTAGAAATGAGAATTTTTACTTTTTGACATGGACGCTTTTTCTCTGTTTTTTTTTCCAGGTTACAGAGAAGAAAAGCGTCGCTGTGAGTACCTTCACCAGAAATTTTTTTTTTTTAAAGGTCTCATCCTGGAGTTTGAGGAAAAGAACAGGGGCAGCTGAAGTTTTTTTTTGAATTCTTGAGCCTCTGCTTAGTGAAACACGAAGGAACAAAGCAGCTGTTTTTTTTTTAGAATGCAACTATCTGCTTTTCTTATGCTGACTACTGGAGTCCGTGGTGTTTTTTTTTGAGTTGCTCTAGCTTCCTGAGGTTTGGTTTTCATTGTTAATTTTTGGGGTGTGGGCACTGTGCAAAGACTCCATAGCTATGCCTAGGAGTTTAGGAAAAGTGACAGAGGCTTGGCTTTTTTACCTTTAGTTCAGCCAAGTCATTTTCCAGTCCTGAGAAATGACATCATCTTCAGGATAAGATAATGAGGACATTAGACAAACCAAACTAAGTGAATTTAGTCTTTTTTTTTCCCTAAGGAAACAGTAATAATAACTTTTGGTAAGAGCTAAAATAACCTGTAGCATACCTAGATATAATGGGAAAGGGCCTGGGTGTTACCCATGTACTGAAAATGAACTTTTTTACCAACATGGCTAAAAAATTAAAACTGACTGCTTCTGTGTCCTTTGTACAATTTTTTTTTTTTTCCTTAAATCTTCCAAGGCAGGTGGTTCTTAACCCTGCCTTCACATTTTTTTTTTTTTTGGGGCTCTCTAAACAATTAGATCCCTGGACCCCAGCCCAGATGTTTTTTTTTTTAATCTCTAAGATTATGGTTTAGACATCTTTTACTTTTTCTTTTTTTTTTTTTTTTTTTCAGAGTCTCGCTCTGTCGCCCAGGCTGGAGTGCAGTGGCCGGATCTCAGTTTTTTTTTAGCTCTGCCTCCCGGGTTCACGCCAGTCTCCTGCCTCAGCCTCCCAAGTTTTTTTTTTTACAGGCGCCGCCACCACGCCCGGCTAGTTTTTTGTATTTTTTTAGTAGTTTTTTTTTTTCACCGTGTTAGCCAGGATGGTCTCGATCTCCTGACCTCGTGATCCGCCCGTCTCGGCCTCCCAAAGTCCTGGGATTACAGGCTTGAGCCACCGTGCCCGGCCGACTTTTTTTTTTTTTTCCAAGCTCTGTGTGTGACCAAGATACATACTTTGCTGTAAGGCTTTTTTTTTTTCATCTTAAAATTGACAGCTACATACTGTAATTATATAGTAGGAAGAAATTTTTTTTTTGAACATAGGAATTCCTAGGATCACCTAAAGTAGCGCTCCTACCTCGAATTATCCAGTGACTGAAAACTATAACTGGGCAGGATTTGAATTTACCTACAAAAGGAGATTTTTTTTTTAGTTGGACAAAAGATCACTCTTCAGTCCTTTCTGTTCCTCACTGTTACAAAAGAAAGTGGATGCTTTACTCATAACTAGGAATGATACTGCCTTTCCCAGTTCTACTGAAGAGGGAGGTTAAAGGGCCACACCCTAGGCTTTGGGAGATAGAACTGCACCCAGCAGTGTCAGCAATTCCTGAAACAACTTGGATGAAACCTTGTGATGCCACACCCTTGACAGGGCATTTCTGGGCAGAGAACAGTCCTTGGGAGGTATAAATATGCAGTAAGCTTAGCTTTTTTTTTTGGATAAACAGGAACCCATCCTTAGGGCATGGACAGCCTAACAAGAAAGGCCCTTCACCTGTTCTCTAATCACCAGGGTAGGCCTGGGCAATAAACATGTAAGGAGAGTTTTTTTTTATAAATTTTGAAAGAATTTTGAGGTGATTATGGACCCAGTCAGTCAGTCTTTTTTTTTAGTGATCAGTATGGTAGCAACTGTATTGCTATTTAAATTAATGAAGACTTTTTTTTTTGTTTCTAGTCATATTTCAGATGCTCCATAGCTACCTGTACTGAACAGTGTTTTTTTTTGAGCATTTCCATCACTGAGGAAAGCTCTATTGAACAGTGATAGTGTGCAGAGAACACCTGGTTCTCAATCTTGTGGAAAGTAAGACAGTTTAAAGGGGTCTCATTTATTTTTTTTTTTCCAAATGTACAAAAAAAATTAGAAAATACCCCCAACTCAACCCCACCTTTTTTTTTTTCCCCCCAACACAAATAATTTTTCCCAAAACCACAAACATAAACTGGTTTTTTTTTTTCCATAAACAGTGCAGCTAAGAAACAGTTTAGAGAAAATTTAACAGGATTTTTTTTTTATCCATTCTGTCCTCTCAGCCCTGAGAGGTAATAATTCCCATATGGGTCCCAGTCCTCCCTAATGGTTTTCCCATCTCTGGTGGAAGAGTCCTTTTACAAAGTGGCGTTTTTTTTTTGCTTTAGAGATCCTCCTGTGCCTTCTTCTTCTTCTTGGGTTTTTCTTCTTTTTTTTTAGGGGGGTTTGTAGCTTCTCGTTGTAGATAGCTAATAAAATCACTTAATTTTTTTTTTCCCTGAAAACAGAAAGATTACCTTAAAAATGTAACTTTTTAAATAACCCTGATCTGCTCCAAACAGGAAGACTTTTGAGTTTGTAAAAGCACATTAGCAGCCACATATTTTTTTTTTGAAAGTTTAAACAGTTTTTAGTTAAATAAACCCAATTAGCCTGGCGTGGTGGCTCACGCCTGTAATCCCAGCACTTTGGGAGGCCAAGGTGGGCAGATCACCTGAGTTTTTTTTTTCAAGACCAGCCTGACCAACATGGAGAAACCCCATCTCTACTAAAAATATTTTTTTTTGGGGGGAGGGATTGCATTGGGAGTTATACCTGATGTAAATGAAGAGTTGTTTTTTTTTGCACACCAACATGGCACAAGTATACATATGTAACAAACCTGCACGTTATTTTTTTTTTCCCTAGAACTTAAAGTATAATAATAAAAAAAAAAATACAAATTAGTCAGTTTTTTTTTACATGCCTGTAATCCCAGCTACTTGGGAGGCTGAGGCAGGAGAATCGCTTGAACCTGGGAGGTGGAGGTTGCGGTGAGCCGAGATCACGCCATTACACTCCAGCCTGGGCAACAAGAGCGAAACTCCGTCTCAAAAATAACTAAAATTAAATAAGTAAATAAACCTTTTTTTTTAAAGAACCATGTTTAAGAGTGTGTGTTTATGTCTGTGTATGTATTTGTGTTTTTTTTTGACAATTCACTTACTTCATATTTCTTTGGATTTAGCTTCTTGTTGGCTGTTTTTTTTTATATAGTAGGAAAACTGGGGAAAGAAACATTTATTAATTTGAAGCAGTTTTTTTTTTTCATGTGCAGAACTCTTAAGCCAAGAAGGAATCAGTGGTTCTTCCTTCAATTTTTTTTTGAAGACTATGTCTAGTAATGATTTCCTGGTGGTTACAAGCTTTATTCCAATCAATTGCCTAGACACTTTTGTGAATTTTTAATCCACTTACCCTCTGACTTCATATGTTTTTTTTTCATCATTGGCTGTGGCATCCATCTTGGCTATGACGATATTTGGGTCTTTTTTTTTTTTTTAATAAAACAGGTTAAATGTTTACATTTCAAATTTTCAGTGACAGAGGTTTTTTTTTGTCAATTCAAGACTTAAAACAATCTCATTCTTCAAACACTAAAAATACATTTTTTTTTTGGGTGTGGTGGTGCACACCTGTAATTCCAGCAGATAAACTGCTGTTCAGGTGGGAAGAGTGCTTTGCAGATGGTAGTACCTCACTTTCCACAAGCTTCCCTTTTTTTTTTTTTTTTAAGACTACATATTGCCACCTTCAAATTTACCTGGTCTAAATAAGACATTTTTTTTTTTAAGTCAAATGTTTTAAGATGAAGAACCATATGGATTCATGTAAGCCATTACCAAAATTCAGAAGTTCTTAGATATTTTGAACTATTATCTAGATTGAGCCTGAGGAATGGAATGTTAAAAGTGGGTATCTCAGGCACTGCACAGGCTGGAGCACTAGGGGGCAGTTTTTTTTTAGTGAGTAAACAGCAAGTAATTGGGAAAAAAAATCTACAAGTACTTAGGAACCAAGCAAATGAGCCAATGCTGAATACATTTATAAACTTTGCTCCCGCTCAAATGTTTTTTTTTTAATAAGGTTCATACTTACCTTCTCTCCAAGTTCTTTATACTTGGGCTCCAGATTCTTACAGTGACCACACCAAGGAGCATAAAATTCAATCAGTACATCTTTATTTTTTTTTTTTTCTATTTCATCAAAATTCTCTGCTACCACTACCTGGAAAACACAGAAGAATTTTTTTTTGGTAAGGTAACATAAAAAAATAAATTCACAAACTGTATTTGTTTCTAGATTTTTTTTTTCTCTAATTTGATGTGTTACCAAGGAAAGTAAGTCATAGAAACCCAAATCACATTTACAGATTAAAGATGTTGTCATTCACTAGATACCAACTCGTTCCTTTGTCTGTTTTTTTTTAAACTATGTTCAGGAAGTTACAGGATATAGAAGTGCTACCCAACCGTTCTTTTTTTTTATTTCAAGCCAGGCTTGGTGGCACATGCCTGCAGTCCAAGCTACTCAGATTTTTTTTTCAACTGAGTAAGACCACATCTCTATAAAAAAATTCAAAGTAACACACTGTTCTTAGGGGTTGCTCTATCCTCAAGAGTAACTTAGCCCAATATAAATTTCATCAGAATTTTTTTTTCAGGCTTTACACTCTTGCCCCTACCAAGCATTATGAGCCCTGCCAATGCTTTTTTTTTTTTTGAGATGGAGTTTCACTCTTGTCACCCAGGCTGGAGTGCAGTGGCATTTTTTTTTCTCACTGCAACCTCTGCTTCCCGGGTTCAAGTGATTCTCCTGCCTCAGCCTCCCAAGTAGCTGGGAACACAGGCACCCGCCACCACACTTGGCTGATTTTTTTGTATTTTTAGTAGAGATGGGGTTTCACCATGTTGGGCAGGCTGATCTCGAACTCTCAACCTCATGATCTGCCTGCCTTGGCCTCCCAAAGTGCTGGGATTACAGGCATGAGCCACCGCTTTTTTTTTTTATGCTTATTTTATGACTCAGGTTGCAGTGAGCTGAGATTGTGCCACTGCTTTTTTTTTTGAGCAACAGAGTAAAACTCCATCTCAAAAACAAACAAAAAAAAAAAAATTTTTTTTTCAATGAAGTCTTCATTTAGACCCCACAGTTTTGGAACAAAGAAACGAGGAGAGGCAATTGCTCATAGCTTGATGAGGCTGTCAGTACCTCACCTTTACAGGCCCATCTTTTTTTTTTGGGACAGGTTCAGACTTCAGGTATCTCTTCAGATTGCCATCAAAGTAATTTTTTTTTAACCTCTCCAGAGCCTTCCCATCACGCCTACAATTGGAAAACAAGGGTATTTTTTTTTAATCTGTTCCCACCACTGAGAAAATTATAGCAATTGCTTTGAACAGTTATTTTTTTTTTTAGCTTCTCAAGGCTAAAAAAAGGGGAACTCTTATCTCTCAATATGCATTTTTTTTTACTGAAGAAACAAACCGTTTTTTATTTCTAGTGTGTTCTTTGTGGATTTCAAAGTTCAGAGAAAGAATCATTGGTCTGCTAGAGATTCATTTTTGTAAAAGAACCAGTTTTTTTTTCTCTGGAGGATAGTGTGTGTTTACAGTATTTCATTTTATTGATTGTCTCACAAGGAATATTTTCTCTTGTCTCAATCTCCCAAAATCTCAGAAAGTGAGGGTAAAAATTGTTTCTGGGGTCTTAAGATCTTCCTGATTCTGAGTTTACTTTAGACTCATGTGGTATTTTTTTTTGAAAATACATTCTGTAGGGATGAGGGGGGAATGGTTTGGTTTGAAATGACATCCGTATCAATGAGGCTGTTCAATCTTTTTTTGGATTTTTCAATTTTTTAGAGACATTTTTTTTTTATGTTGCCCAGGCTGGCCTCAAACTCATGGGCTCAAGTGATCTTCCTGCTTCAGCCTCCCAAAGTGCTGGGATTATAGGTGTGAGCAACCACATCTGGCCCAAAGGAGGTTGTCCAATCTTATCTTTTTTTGTTTTTTTGAGATACAGTCTTGCTCTGTCACCCAGGCTGGAGAACAGTGGCGTGATCTCGGCTCACTGCAACCTCTGCCTCCCGGGTTCAATTTTTTTTTGTGCCTCAGCCTCCCTAGTAGCTGGAATTACAGGTGCACACCATCACACTTTTTTTTTTTTTGTATTTTTAATAGAGACGGGGTTTCACCATGTGGGCCAGGCTGGTCTCGAACTCCTGACCTCAAGTGATCCACATACCTTGGCCTCCCAAATTGCTGGGATTATTTTTTTTTGTCACTGTGCTCAGCCTCTATCTGCAATTAATGACCAAGTGGAATTATGTAAGAATTCCAACCTGCCATCCTTTCATTAGTTTTCAGAATTCATTAAGGATCATAATTTTTTTTTTATCGATATGTATTTATTTATTTTTATTTATTTTTTTTGAGACAGAGTTTTTTTTTTTTTGCCCAGGCTGGAGTGCAATGGCACGATCTTGGCTCACTGAAACCTCCGTTTTTTTTTTTCAAGCGATTCTCCTGCCTCAGCCTCCCAAGTAGCTGGGATTACAGACTTTTTTTTTTGTGTCTGGCTAATTTTTGTATTTTTAGTAGAGATGGGGTTTCTCTATGTTGGTCAGGCTGGTCTCGAACTCCTGACCTTAGGTGATCCGCCACCTTGGCATCCCAATTTTTTTTTATTACAAGTGTGAGCCACTGTGCCTGGCCTAAAGTATCTATATTTAAATTTTTTTTTTCGACAGTCACAGGTCTTGATTAAAAGACCTATCTTCACATTCCAGGGTTTTTTTTTTTTAGAAATCCTTTGTAGTATAAAAGGCTTTAATAAATGCCTTGGAGAATCTTTTTTTTTCTAGCAACTCACGAGAACTCCTCCTGCATGACAAACTTCTCTCCTTTAGCAGTTCTGATAGCAACAACAGGAATCTCTCCAGCAGTGCTCTCCAAGCCAAAATCAGATTTTTTTTTGCTAAAGGTTTTGCGGCTAGCTACAGCAAAGTTGAGTTTGTGCCCAGCATTTTTTTTTTTCTTTGCCACCATCATTACCCTGTGGGAAACAAGAGACATTTGTGCCATTTTTTTTTAGGGTGGTCAAGCACTTTTGAAACTAAGGAGCAAGTGACTGGAAAGCAATTTTTTTTTTCTACAGTTCTAGCCTTCTGGAATCAGTCTGAACAGTCTGAGCTTCTGGTTTTTTTTTCAGGGTTATGATATACTTCAATGCCTTACTGAACTTCACTGGCAAATTGTTTTTTTTTAATCAACTGGTGCATTCCTGCTAAATCTTGCTGTAATATACAACTGAAATTTTTTTTTGGCATAATGACTGATCTGAAAAGAAAATCTGTAAAGGTAAAATGCACTGAGAGTCTAAATGTGCAAGTAAGCACAATGTTTAAGTGCATTTTATATCAAATTTCCACTTTTTTTTTAGAGTCACTGTGTCACAAAGCAAAGAAACACCTATGAAATACATGCCCATTTTTTTTTGAAAACAGTTTATGTTATTTGTCCTATGGCTTCAAATGTAGTTTTTGGATTTTTTTTTTTCCCATTCTTTCCTGCTCTTATACCACACATGGTAACAGGACAGTAATTTTTTTTTTATTTTTTTTACAGCTTCTTAAGGAACCATTTATTGTTTTACAGATTCTTTTTTTTTTTACAAGATAGTTAGAAGGGACTGTTTATACATTGGGTAAACTTGTCCATGTGGGAAAAACATAATTCTTATTACCTGTTTCTCCAGTAGTTGGAACCTTTAGCATTCTTTTTTTTTTCCACATCATAGTAAGCAATAAGTAAGTCCTTGCCCTGTATCAAATCTTTATTGTCTTCTGTCATGTGAGGGCAGATACCGAAACTGAAATGAAATAATCCATTATCATTTTTTTTTGCAAGTTTTTAGCTATATCATAAAGTTGCCACAAAGTAACTGATAGCATTTATGAAGGAAAGAGATTTTCAACATTTAGGACAAGTACTGAGCAATATATACCTTACAGGATGACAACAGGAGTTCTAACACCCATACATTACTGCTTTAATGTAAACTCAAACTTTTTTTTTTACAACCCCCCCGAATAGACCGTTTAAGCCAAAATATAGCTCTGCTTAATAACTGAGGTAAACAAACTAAAATCAAGCAAATAAATCCCAGACAAGATACAAAGAAGTTTTTTTTTTTTTTCCTGGATGAACTTTTTAATTTTGCCACTGGTCATTTTTTGCTCTGTTTTTTTTTCAGTCTTGTCCTCAAACTTGTTAGTCAGATGTGAAGGACGAAATAAGATTTTTTTTTTTAAAAAAAAAAAAAAAAAAAAAGTCTCAGTAGGCAGATAACAGAAGAACTTTTTTTTTTCCTTTTTTTTTTTTTTTTTGGAGATAGGGTTTCACTCTGTTGCTCAGATTTTTTTTTAGTGGTATGATCATAGCTCACTGTAGCCTTGAACTCCCAGGCTCAAGTGATCCTCCCACCTCAGCTGCCCAAATAGCTGAGAACACAGGTGTGCACCACCATGCACATTTTTTTTTTTATTTTTTAAAATTTTTATAGAGATGGGGGTCTCACCATGTTACCAAGGCTGGTCTTGAACTCCCAGGCTCAAGTGATTCTCCCATCTCGGCCTCCAAAAATGCTGTTTTTTTTTGCGGAGCCCCCATGTTTCATATAATGCTCAGACTATCTACTTTTGCTGCTTTTTTTTTCTAGCAATATCTAAGCACACAAGGACTCTTTTCTAGTACCACAGATTCATTTTTTTTTCATTCTCATTAACACTAAGATGCTAACCACCTTAATCTTAAGTGCAATAATTGGGTATAGGGTTTAATACATTTTGGGTTGGAAAATTCAGAGAACGTGGTTCTAATTTTTTTTTTCCAACTAATTCCAAACACATTGGACCAGGTCTCAATTTAATCCTTCTGGTTTTTTTTTTTTTCATTATCTCAAAAGGGGGTTAAGAGTAGATTTTCAAACCTTTAGATTTTTTTTTAGGCTGGGTGTGGTGGCTCACGCCTGTAATCCCAACACTTTGGGAGCCTGAGGCAGACAGATCACCAAAGGTCAGGAGTTTGAGACCAGCCTGGCCAATATGATGAAACCCTGTCTCTACTAAAAACACAAAAATTAGGCAGGTGTGGTGGTGCACACCTGTAATCCCAGCTACTCAGGAGGCTGAGGCAGGAGAATCACTTGAACCCAGGAGGCAGAGGTTGTAGTGAGCCGAGATCATACCACTGCACTCCAGCCTGGGCAACAAGGGTGAGGCTCTGTTTTTTTTTTATAAAAACAAAAAACTCAAACTTACTCTAAATCTTCTCCTTTTCACACATTTTTTTTTACTATTGTTTACATTTTTTATACTCACTCCTTCCTATCCATTGCCACTAATGCTGTTGACCGAGTTTAGACTCTCACATGTCATCCTCAGTTTAGATTCTCCTTATATTTTTTTTTATTCTCCTTAGAATCCTTTGAATGCCTTTCACCATTCCCCCTCCAAACCTTTTTTTTTTGGTTGCCAGTGACTTCTTCACAAATTTAACCCATTTATGTGGGAGGTTTTTTTTTTTTTTTGTGAAAGATCAGACCTTGGCAATGACCTTGAGCAGGAGGCTACCACTCCCACAAGCTTAGTATTCTAATAATAGAACACTAGGCATTATATCTCCCCAGCCCAGAGTCTTTCAATGGCTCTCAAATGTCTAAAAGATAAAATCTAAGCTCTTTTGTATGGCACTTAAAATTTATAATTTGGTCTTTGCTTAATACTCCAATCTTATCTTTCATTATCTCTTTTTTTTTCAATACTCCACCAGTACTATGGGCCCCAACATGCCTAGGCTATCTTACATTTCAAGGCCTTCACTCCTGGTGCTCTATCTGGAATAATTTTTATTTCAAAGGCTATAACCTTCCAGAAAAAACCTCATCCTTCAAGAGTCACCCCCTCTGTGAATTTTTCTGATATTACCCACCTACCCCAAAAGAAGAAAAACAATCACTCCCTCTTTTGTACTTCCAACCATTTTTTTTTTAGTTCTATATATACTTATACTTTCATTTTTACATATGTTCATGTATACTTTTTTTTTTTACTAGATAGAGGGTTGTTCCTTGAAGGCAGCAATAGTTTCTGGCATGTTTTTTTTTGCCTCGAAAGTACTCAATAAACCCTTGGGAAAAATTAGGTATAAAAATGTTTTTTTTTGATGGGTACGGTGGCTCATGCCTGCAATCTCAGCACTTTGGGAGGCAGAGGAATCTGAGACCAGCCTGGGCAATATGATGAAACCCTGTCTCTACTAAAAATACAAATTTTTTTTTGGTATGGTGGCACGTGCCTGTACTCCTAGCTACTCAGGAGATTGAGGCGTTTTTTTTTTTTGAACCTGGGAGGCGGAGGTTGCAGTGAGCAGAGATCACACCACTGCTTTTTTTTTTGGGTGACAGAGTGAAACCCTGTCCCAATCAATCAATCAGTCAATCAATTTTTTTTTTTCACACAATAATACTGCGTCCGGAGATTCAACTCAATCACTTACTCTCCTTTTTTTTTATACTCGTTCACCAGAGACTTAACATTCGTATGTGCAAATCGGTAGTTATTTTTTTTTTTGCTGGCTGCTTTTAGGAACTCAGAGTGAGCTTCACTGAATAAATCATTTTTTTTTTCTATACAAAAAATATTAAACACAAGGAAGAAGCAATAAGTGCTAACAGATTTTTTTTTCAAACCGTAAACGTCTATTTTTCAAGGGTTTCGTTCTATTTTGAGGACTTTTTTTTTTTTGTCATGACTACCTCAGACAGGCACAATATTTAGGATGAGAATTTTCCTTTTTTTTTTTAGGGACACATTTCTTGAGAGAGCCAAGGGAGAAAATTTATCAGTGTTTTTTTTTTTATTCTACTTTCCCATAATTGAACAAATTCGGGCAAATTGCTTAACTTAATTTTTTTTTGTATCAGAAGGATTAAGATGATACCTCAAAATAAACTGTAAACCACTTCACCCAATTTTTTTCTTTCTCTATATTTGTCTTTAGAACTACTCATTTAGAAAAGTGACTTTTTTTTTAATGTTTAATGAATACATGCTAACTCCTTGTAAAAGAAAAAGAATCAGTAAAATTTAGGTGATAAAAAGTGGCTTTTGGCCAAATTTAAACAGTAAACCATATTCTGCTGCCAGAAAGTCAGTATTTTTTGTTTGTTTGTTTTTTGTTTTGCGACAGAGTTTTGATTTTTTTTTCCACGCTGGAGTGCAATGGCGCGATCTTGGCTCACCCCAACCTCTGCCTTTTTTTTTTAAGCGATTCTCTTGCCTTAGCCTCCCAAGTAGCTGGGATTACAGGCATGTGCCACCACGCCCGACTAAGGTTTCTCCATGTTGGTCAGGCTGGTTTAGAACTCCTGACCTCAGGTGATTTGCCCGCTTCAGCCTCCCAAAGTGCTGGGATTACAGGCGTGAGCCTTTTTTTTTTGCAAAAGTCAGATTTATTACAGTAATTAGGAGACTAAGAGAAGTACAAATTTTTTTTTTATGTTTATATTTATTTTTTAGTCAAATTTATCATATATCACATTTAAAAAACAAAACAATGAACATCTAAGATGCAGAAAGTGTTTAACTTGCTCATGTCATTTAATTTTTTTTTATTGCAACACATGAGAAAGCAATGAATGCTGCAAAAACAAGACAAATCCTTTTTTTTTGATTTTAACTTTTAAGTTCCCTAATTATTGTGAAAATAGCAGTTTTATTTTTTTTTTTTATCTTCTGACCTTAAAACCTTATTTTCAGTCATAACTACCTTATTATATTTTTTTTTTCTCAGAGTTTAAGAAGCATTAGAAAATGCTGAAGATATTCCTATCCTATTTTTTTTTTTTTTCTCCCATGCCCACCCCTCCTAGTCCTTTAATTGAAATTAAACCTTCACATCTATAAGAACACAAACCCACCCAAATAAAACACCAATTGCCCCCACATTATAATTACATTATATACTAATTATATAATGTACTATAGTACATTATATTAATTGCTAACCCTTTTTTTTTAGTTGCCTTTTCAACTGCCCCAAGTTTCCTTAACTGCTTTAATTCTGTTTTTTTTTTAGACATGGAGGGTTTTGGAAATCAAGTTGATGATTCTGTGGCACGGTTTAATATTTGCTACTTACCTACTACAGACGCATCTTTATCACTAATGAATTTCTTAAATTCTTCCTCAGTCCTGAGAGGCACTGAAGCTGGTCCTGCCTGCTTCTTCAGGTGGCTGACTTTTTTTTTTTAGAAGTCAAAATAAAAGTTGTAACAACACAACTTATTTATAATTTTTTTTTTTTTTATTACTCATGATTCAAAATTCAGAAGGTACAAAAGGGTATATGACGAAATTTTTTTTTCACCCTTGTCCCTAGTCACCCAGTTTCCTCCATATAAGATTTCAGTTTCTTTTTTTTTTTTTTTTGAGGAGTGCTACTCGTACTCGCCCCAGGGCTGGAATGCGTTTGTGCAGATTGACTCGATGCAAGCTCTGCCTCCCATTTTTTTTTTTTTTGAGATTCATGCCCATTCTTCGTTTTTGTGTTTGTGGATCAGTGCCCGCACCACCGGCTCTAAATTGTATTTTTTTTTTTTTTTTGAGACGGCTGTGCGTTTCCAGGGCTGGGGTGCGTGGCCGATCTCAGCTCACTGGCAAGCTCCACCTCCTGGTGTCCGCCATCCTCTGCCTCAGCTCCCAAGTAGCTGGACTAGGAGGTGCCCGCCACCATCGCCCAGCTAGTTTGAATTTTTGTGAGGTTTCACCGTGTTCACCAGGATGGTTCGACTCCCTGACCTCGGCGATCCGCCCCGTTCGGCCTCCCAAGTGCTAGGGTTACAGGCTTGGAGCCACCGCGCCAGGCCTTTTTTGTATTTTTTAGAGAAGGGGTTTCACCGTGTAGCCAGGATGTTCTCGATCTCGCCTCGTGATCCACCCGCCTGGCCTCCCAAAAGTGTATGGGTGGGATTTACAGGCGTGAGCCACTGCGCCAGCAAGATTTCAGTTTGCTGTAATCCTTCCAGACATTTTTATGCATAAACAGGCAATTATATATAAAGGAGCTACTTTGACCTTTTATTACAGTGGCATAGCTTATTGTGTTTTAAAAAAGTTTTGTTTTTTTTTAACAGGAAACATTGTTACAATGCCATAGTTTTCACTATAAAAGTGCCACCAGTTTAACCAGACACAACCTACCCAAATTGATGGACATTTGTTTCAATTTTTTTTTTTTTTTTTTTTCCTGAGATAGGGTCTCCTTTTGTCACTCAGGCTGGAGTCCAGTGGCATGATCATTGGTCACTGCAGCCTTGACCTCCCGGGAGGGTCAATCAGATCTCTCTCCTCAGTCTCCTGAGTAGCTGGGCCTACAGGCACGCACTATCACACCTGGCTAGCTTTTTGTATTTTTATAGAGACGGGGTCTCACTATGTTGCCCAGGATGGCCTCCAACTACCAGGCTCAAGCGATCCACTTGCCTCAGCTTCCCAAAGTGCTAGGATTCAGGCATGAGCCTTGTTAAACCATTTTTTTTGTTTGTTTGATTGTTTGAGACGCAGTTTCACCCTTGTCACCCAGGTTGCAACACAATGGCGCGACTGCAACATTGGCTCACTGCAACATCCGCCTCCTGGGTTCAAGTGATTCTCCTGCCTCAGCCTCCCAAGTAGCTGGAATTACAGGCGCCTGCCACCACACCCGGCTGATTTTTTGTATTTTTAGTAGAGACGGGGTTTCACTATGTTGGCTGGCCAGGCTGGTCTTGAACTCCTGACCTCGTGATCTGCCCACCTTGACCTCCCAAAGTGCTCGGATTACACACATGAGCCACCGTGCCCGGCCCTAGTTAACCATTTTTAAACATACAATTCTGTATACTATTTGTGCTACCTCATATAAGTGGAATCATATAGCAGCATGTAGTCAGAATTTTCTTCTTTAAGGCTGAATAATCTTCCACTGGATGCATATACCGTATTTTGTTTACTATTCATTCACTGATAGACACTTGGATTTCTTCTAACTTTTGGCTACTATGAATAATGCTGCTGTGGATATAGGTGTACAACTATCTTCTTTTGGGTATACAGTAAGTCCTCACTTAACATTATTCATACGTTCTCAGAAACTGCAACTTCAAGAGAAAGAATGAACAGCAAGTCCTAGAATAACACTGTTTCCTATAACATTGATGAGGAAAAAAAACACCAAGTTTTGTTATAGGTTGTTTCACTTAAAAGTTACAGCTTCCAAGAATCTATTGATAACATTAAGTGAGGACTTAATGTATACTCAGAGTGGGTATACAGAAGCTGGATCATATATATGGTAATTTCATTTTTATTTTTTTTGAGACAGGGTCTCACTCTGTCACCCAGGCTGGAGTGCAGTGGTGTGTGATCTCAGCTCACTGCAACCTCCACCTCCCAGGTTCAAGCAGAATTCTCCTGCCTTAGCCTCTCAAGTAGCTGGGACTACACGTGTGCACCACCACACCCAGCTAATTTTTGTATTTTTTGGTGGAGATGGGGTTTCACCATGTTGGCTAGGCTGGTCTCGAACTCCTGACTTCAAGTGATCTACCTACCGTGGCTTCCCAAAGAGCTGGGATTACAGTCATGAGCTACCGCACCTGGCCTTCCATTTTTATTTTTATTTATTTTTTATTTTTTTATTTTTGGAGACGGAGTCTTGCTTTGTTCCCCAGGCTGGAGTGCAGTGGCCTGATCTCGACTCACTACAATCTCCGCCTCCCGGGTTCAAGCGATCCTTCTGCCTCAGCCTCCCAAGTAGCTGGAATTACAGGTATGCGCCATCACACCCAGCTAATTTTTGTATTTTTAGTAGAGAAGGGGTTTCATCAAGTTGTCCCGGCTGGTCTCAAACTCCTGACCTCAAATGATTCGCCTGCCTTGGCCTCCCAAAGTCCCGGGATCACAGGCATGAGCCACCATGCCCGGCGCTATTTTTAATTTTTAAAGGAACTACCATACTGTGTTTTCCATAGCGGTTGTCCCAGTTTACATTCCTAATAGTGCAAAAAGTTTCCAATTTCTCTACATCCACACCAACACTGGCTATTTTGTTGTTTTTTGTGTGTGTGAGTGAGATGGAGTTTCGCTCTTGCTGCCCAGGCTGGAGTGCAATGGCACAATCTCGGCTCACCACAACCTCCGCCTCTCAGGTTCAAACGATTCTCCTGCCTCGGCCTCCCGAGTAGCTGGGATTACAGGCATGTGCCACCACGCCTGGCTAATTTTGTATTTTTAGTAGAGATAGGGTTCCCCATGTTGGTCGGCTGGTCTCGAACTCACGACCTCAGGTGATCCGCCAGCCTTGGCCTCCCAAAGTGCTGGGATTATAGGTGTGAGCCACCGCGCCCAGCCTATTTTATTATTTTTTTTAATACTAGCCATCCTAATGGGTATGAGATGGTTATCCATATATATATATGGAGACACATACGCTTTTTTTTTTTTGATGGAGATGGGAGTCTCACTCTGTTGCCCAGGCTGGAGGGCTGTGGCACGATCTCGGCCCACTGCAACCTCCGCATCCCGGGTTCAAGCGATTCTCCTGCCTCAGCCTCCCGAGTAGCTGGGATTACAGGCGTGTGCCACCATGCCCAGCGCCAATTTTTGTATTTTTAGTAGAAATGGGGTTTCACCATGCTGGCCAGGCCAGTCTCAAATTCCTGACCTTGTGATCTGCCCACCTCAGCCTCCCAAAGTGCTGGGATTACAGGCTTGAGCCACCACACCCGGCCTATCTGGCATATTCTAAATATGCCATTACAAATACTCAATAAATATTTGTAAAATGAAAAAATGTCGAGCTGACCTTATAAATCAAGTTTGTGTATTTTCTGTATTACTTATATAATCTGTTCATTTAGAGAGGTCTTTTGTTACCACCAAACTAACTGACCTTTTAGATGAGGAATTTTTAAGACTGAAAGTACACTGTGTAGAAAAACACATTTTTATGTTTCCACTACAAAGAATAAGGTACTTAACATTAGTTTCCAGAATGTAATTCAGGATCCTTACCAGCAGTCCTAGGTCCATCATAAGCACCTGCTTCTTCACCATCTCTAAATATCTTCAGGGTTGGATATCCACTGACGCCGTATTTATTACAGGTGTTAGTGTTGGCAGTGCAATCAACCTAAAGATCAAAATACACAAACTATTTTCTTAGCCAAGTATCTGCTGCAGGTTCCTCCTATATTCTCAAAATAATAGGATTGGTCAAATCCTAAGGGGATCAAGGAATTCTTGACATACATGCCATAGAACATTAGATTTTAAAGGCAGACTGGAGCTTGCCTAACTACATCAGAACTGCCTAAGGAATTCTTTAAAACTCAGATTCCTGGGCCTCACATAATATGTAAAAGTTACTGTTTAAATTCTGCTCTTGGAGTCTCCATTAGCTAAAGCAGTGGTCTTCATCTTTTTTCTGCCTCAGAACACATGAGGGATAAATCACTTAAATTATTAACAGTGGCTTACTTTGATTACGACTATCACCAAGGGGATATATAGATAGAGGTACATATCCTTTAGGTGGAATATAATTTGATTTTGTAAATCACCTAGAGCTAGTATCAAAGGTACCAATACTTGTACATGTTCCCTGAGCTAGTTGGAACCTGGGCTATACCATAACATAACAGATCTAGTGAGACCTATCAGGAAGAAGGAAAATAATTTCCTGGAATGCGTCACTTACTCCAACCCAGGTACGAGTACTTTGCATATATTATCTCATTTAATCTCCACAAGATTCTGAAGTATGATCCTTATGCTCTAAGATGCGTAAACTGAGATCCAGAAAATTAACGTGTCTATAGTCACACAGGTAGGAATTGTGATTGCATTTGTCTTTTTTTTTTTTTTTTTGAGACAGAGTTTCACTCTTGTTGCCCGGGCTGGAGTGCAACGGCGCGAATTCGGCTCACTGCAACCTCCGCCCCAAGGGTTAAAGCCATTCTCCTGCCTCAGCCTGGCTAATTTTTGTAAATTTAGTAGAGATGGGGTTTCACAATGTTGGCCAGGCTGGTCTTGAACTCCAGACCTCAGGAGATCCACCCACCTTGGCCTCCCAAAGTGCTGGGATTACAGGCATGAGCCACAACAGTGCCCGGCTGTGATTAATATTTCTTTTCCTATGGCAAGCTGCTTAATAGGATTAAAAGTAGTTTCCAAAAATAGCCTTATATATGAACTATTTGAGGCTGGCAGAGGTATGAACTTTTAGACTAGAACAACTACGGGTTTACTACAGAATGGCAACATTCTGGAAGCATTACTTTAATTGTGAAAACAAATACAAGTTTACAGTTGACCATTTGGTTACATTTTCATCAATATCCTCATATCATTTTCATATTCCCATCATTGTGATTATCATATGGCAGTTTAGGGAACTCATTTACTCATAGATTATTATTATTATTTTTTTTGAGATGCGTAGTCTTGCGTTTTCATCAGGCTTGGAGTAGGCTAGTGGGCATGTCTCAGCTCACTGCAACCCTCCGCCTCCTGGGTTCAAGTGATTAGTCCTGTCTCAGCTTCCAAGTAGCAACTATAGGAGATTACAGTACGCACCTGTCACGCACACATGGCCTGAATTTTTGTAATTTTTTTTAGTAGAGACGGGGTTTCACCATTTGGCCAGCTGGCCGAACTCCTGACCCTCAAGTGATCCGCCCTCCTTAGCCTCCAAAGGTGCTGGCGATTACAGGCGTTGAACGACCGTGCACCAGTTCATGATTATTTTAGCCTTTACCCAGCTGTATTCTGCCTTCCATTATTTTGACCTTTTAATTCTTATTTCCATATATTTACACTCTGTTTTTTTTTTTTGAGACAGGGTTTCGCTCTTATTGCCGGTAGGCTGAGTTGCAATGGCTCAACCAGCATCACTGGCAGCCCTCAACTCTCTGGTTAAGGCAATTCTTACCCTCAGGCCTCTGATTGACTGGTACACTATGGAGATGCCTGGGCTCTTTAGTAGAGATGGAATTTTCGCTGTTTTCCGTTCGGTCTTCAACAGCTCCGGGCTCAAGTGATCTGCGCTGCCTTGGCCTCCAATGTACTGGGATTGTTTTTTTAAGAGACAGGGTCGTTACTGCCGTCACCTAGGCTGGAGTCACGTAGTATGGTCATCAGTTCACCTGCAGCCTCAGCACAGCCTCCTGTTCAGCTTCGGACGAAGTGGGGACTCAGGTGAGCCACCCAACCCCAGCTTTTTTAAATGTTTTAGTAGAGAAGGTCCTTGCTGTTGTTGCCCAGGCACAACCAACTCCTGCTTCAAGTGGATCTCGCAAAGTTGCTGGAATTACAGCTGTGAGCCATATCACCGGTCTATTTTTATTGTCTACTTCTTATGCCGTAATTTCCTTAGTTTCACTACACTTTACATTTTTTTTTTTCTTTTTGTTTTTTGCAGACGGAGGTCTTGCTGTTTCACCCAGGCTGGAGTCAATGGCACCCGATCTCAGCATCACTGCAACCTTCTCTTCCTGGTTTAGGCAATTCTCGCTGCTCAGCCTCCTGAGTACGCTGAACTCAACAGGCTGATGCCATCACGCCACGCTTAATTTTTTTATTTTTGTGGGACAGGGGTTTCCTCATGTTGGCGCAAGGATGGTCTCGATCTCCTTGCTGTCGTGATCCACCCCCGGGCCTCCCAAAGTTGCTGGGATTGCAGGCATAAGGCCATCGTGCCCAGTCCACTCTTTAATCTTTTGAAACTAAGTCAGCTGCAGTATTTGCCCGAAATAGTATCACTCTCTTAGCATTTAATAAGAGTATTAGAAATGAAATGTTAATCTTTTACAAACTATTTGTTACTGTTATTTTTTTTCCAGATATCACCAGCTGCGCAACAACTACTGGTTTTAATATACTTTCACTCGTTAGTGAGAACCACCTGTATTACCTGTTGCTATGGACTATTCCTTTTTAATCGTGGTAGCTGCAGCGTTCATATTCAGGAGAAGTCTCTTGCACGTGTCCACACTATATGAAGAAAAAAAGCGCGAACGTGTTAATCTGTGAATTTTTAATGGTCTTCAGTATTGGGGAAGATCTTTCAAATATAGATATTACCTTTGAACTAGTAGACACTTCAAAGCAAAATCAGTGGCCAACCTGATTTGGTCCCGATTGAGACCATGGCGTGACAGAGGTCGCTGACCGTGCTTGTGTGAGACTGTGGGTCTATAGTCCTGGCTCAAGCCCAGGCCAGCTTTATTTTTTGCGCAGGCGCAAGAGTATAAGTAAGTATGAAGCTGTAGTGCAAAAGTGTACGGCCACATTATTAAAGAGGGGTGAATGGTAATGCTCTTTTGACTCCATTAATGAGCTGAATGAAGGACAGATAGAAATAATCCCATTTTGGTTTGTCCCAGGAGGTGAAATACAATTCCTGGAACAGCATTTGTGGTTGTAAAAGTTGGACTGAGCTCAACCTGGACGATGGTTGTTTGCTGTGCGAGTAGATATTTGTGTGTGTTGTGTTGTAGCAGTGTGTTGTGTGTTATCCCTCATTTGTCCAAAATTAAGCCAGGTAGTGGTGGTGGGCACCTGTATCCAGCTAATCATGGGTGAGCAGATAGAATCGCTTGAACCTGGGAGGTGGGAGTTGCAGGGAGCTGACATTGTGCCACTGGCACTCCATCTGGCACAGGACAGACTCCGTCTCGGAGGTGACAAAATTGTGACTGAACCCTGTTACATGTCTCAAGCTATGTATTGTCTTTTAGATGGGCAGAGCCTGATTTTTACAGGCTACACAGCTCAACCTGGCCATGAGAACTGATAACAAACAGGGTAAACTTAGGAATCCTTTCCAGAGGCCATCGAAGCACACTGCTCCTCTGCCCAGAAAGTTTAATCAGTGTATATCGCCAGCACCGCTGTACATCACATCTTCAAAAGCCAATGTGTTGCAGAGGCCCTTGAGAAGGTGGATGTTCTGATAACTCCCACATGACAGCAAAATAGAAGTAATATAATAGAGAAGAAACTTGAGAGATATATTTCAGTACCGATGTATGTATTTTTAAGTGGGATGGATGACTTGGAGAGTATTGTACATCAAAACTTGTTTAAATGTAAGGACTATAAGAGCTATTCTCCAAGGTCTTCAAGAGGCCTATTAAAGTATAAAGAAGCAAATGACAATATAAAATTCAGGATAAGAGTGTATAGATGGTAAAGGTGGGCCACATAGGGAACTTCAAATGTACTGGCAATGGTTTTTCAGACAGAGTGCAATAAAATAGGTATTCCTTTGCGTGTATTTCAAGATTTTATTTTTTTTTCTGAAATTAAGATATGTTTTGCAGTCATGTTATAGTTCAATATGGTAGTATTTCTTTTCTTCAGTGAGACACAGATAGTTCCTCCAAAATCAGGATATAAGATCTTATGTGTGTGAAATGGTATACTCATGTAATCCTCTGATGTCCTTTATATTGTAGTAGATGTATTATTAAAGCGTAACAACTGGATCTGGGTCTGAAGGATCTTAGTGCTTCAGAGGAGGAGAGGGGCAGCGGTATTTTAAGATGAGGGAGACAGCAGAGCAACGTAAAAAGCAATTTACCGTAAGGTAGATGACATTCAGAGATGTAAAGGCTCTTTTGAGAATATAAATGGTGTGTGCATGGTGTACTAACCTAGATCATTAGGCAGATGTCAAGGAGACTGACAGAAAGGGAGAAACAGAGGGA